GTAGTTACATTCAATGATAACAAAATTCAAGGATATATGCAAATGATCAATTTAAAACTAACAAATAACAATATTAATATGTCATACATATTACTAGATGATTATAGCGTCATACTCAACCATATGTAGGATCATTTTCTATAAATGATCGTTTCTATTATATAATATAGTTTTTTTTTTTTGGTATCAAGCAAAAGATTGAAGAATGTGCTATTGTTAAGACTACTACACCAGCTTCAAAGACAATAAAATCTCAGCAAGTCTGAAGAGCAGAAGCATAATTTGATCTAGGACAGTTTATCATGTAATATTGTTAAGTGTGTGTGCATGAAAAACAATCGATTAATGACATGGTCAGAGTTGAAAAAAGTTCATCAACTTGTTAACTCCCGTCATAATATTTGATTAACGCAACGCTGCTACAACGAATGAGATATCATTTAACTCTACTTGATCTCTAAACCTAAGAAAAAATATGAACTGTAAAAGAAAAAATATAATTAAGACATAAAAAATCAAGATAATACAAAATAGGGTGTCAAAGTGATGATTGATCTATGTGACCAAAGGCATGTTACCACTACGATTGATTGAACGATCACCTATATATCATGTATGTTATATGGTTGGTTGGACTTGACTCTTGAGGCACCATATGAGGCCATCCTTATATATGTATAAAAAATATTTTTACATTTTAAAATCGAAGGTAGATAAGGTTTAGAATATGATAACGTTAAACCCAAAAAGAGAAAGTTTTAGGATAGTAAGGCTAATTATGGCTCACTTATTTGACTATATATATTCACACGAAAATCATGATTTACCATCGCCAAATTGAGCAAAGCTAATCCATAGTGTCATAGTGATTCCTCTTTTTATGTCGGATCCACTATATAACTATTAGATATACACTTTCTATTGATTTTATTCTTTTAAGAAAAAATAAATCAGTGTTAAGAAATTAACATTCAAAGAGTAAAATTTTATGTTTTTATTATTACGAAATTCTAGTGTTAACGCACCGCAGTTATACACGTGAAGATTCACTAATTAGTCATAAACAATGTATACATATATTAAACAAAAAATGTATACATATGCCGGGGCAAGAGAATTCAGATTTGCCAACCCAAAAAGCGCATTGCTCCATAATATTATAATGCCTAGTTTCCAAAATATTAAAAATTTATAATGCATATATAGTAGCATAGGTTAATTAAATCAGAAACGCAAATACTGCATACATTTTCCTCCTACGTACGGGATATAAGATATATTTAAAAACGAAAAATAATTTATAAGAATAGCCAGCTTTAACAAATAAAAGGATTGTTATTTTCATTTCAAATATTATTCATCAAAATTAGTATTTTGTCACATGTGGATTTCCATCCATATTTTGTTGGAAAATTATAAAAAAAATGTTTGTCGTAAATTATATTGAAAATGTTATTTGGATTTGATAATTTATATATCGTATGCTAATTTCAGTAAATTATTTCCACCAAGTCATGTTATTTTATATCCCTAGAAAAATGGAGGAAATGATCGATCCGTTAGAAGAAAAGAATATAGAAAGAGAGGATCATATGAAGACAGAAGTGTAAAAGAAAAAACAGGAAGACATGATGCAGATTAGATTTGCCCGAAGAAAAAGTGTCAATATTAAAATTGTTATGGCGAGGGCATGTGTTCATGATGGGTTCTATCTGGAATCAGGTGTACAATTAAGCTTATTTAATCAATAATAATGCAACACCTTATATGATATGCATGGATACATGTGCTTTCTGAGTATATATCTATCATTTATAGCATGACTAACTAAAAGTTTTGTGTATAGCGCTAGCTATTGCTAGCCAGTAGCCACATATGTATTATTTTCTGATATTTTGTTCCCGTATACCAAATTTATGTGCGAGTAAGTGATGACTTTTAAAAGTCTATGAAACAATATTTGTGGGTTAGCTAGGTTTATATTGCTCGATTTGCCTTCATGATTGTTTCTCATTTTCGGAGACTCAAGGAAAGCTACCTCCATGCGCGATTTGTTAAGTAGAAATTGGTTTAAATTGCTCCTTCCGTAGTTTTCTGATTCACGCAGTTCCATATATACCTCTTTGTATATATTTTCCCCGTAGGAACGACGAACAACTTAATTAGTGTTTCCGTTCGACACACAATTTTTTGTGATCTTTGTGGATTAATGGAAAATAAAGTCGATCGATATTCATTGACCTACGACTTGTTACTATAAGATATAGACAGCGCGTAAACTTCAAAGCTGCGTGCGATAGTGTCAAAATCTGTTTATATAGCACATGCACTTTTAGTGATGTAAACAAAAATTGTTTACTAAAACAAGGTAGCACATGCATGCTTTCTCTTTTTGGCAGAAAAATAAACCTTTACAATTTTATTGGAAATATGCTTCTCTTTTTTCTAATAGAAAAGTCACAACTGTGGTCTTTACATTTCTGTCTCCATATATATGATCCGCTCTATCGTCTAGGCTAGCTATGATGCATAAACGTATTACGTAGAGGACGATCGATATGTATTTGTATATATATCAGAGTAATAGAATGGCCGATGCAGTTTGTTTTAATATTTCACATGTAGGTATGCATGCATTTCATATTATAATACGGAGCCCGCTAATTATTGTTTGGTATAGATTTTATAAAAGTTTTGTTTGTTTTTTTTAAAAAACTTTTCATTTTGTTCATTAGATTTATGAAGTTTATCCGAACTAGTTATTTTAATTGATCTGGAACTTAATTTTAAAAAAATATATATATAACTTTTTGTAAAGTCTAAAACAATAGAAATATTTTGGAGCTAGGAGATTAAGATTCGAGTTATTTCACTGCTATTCTAATCATAGTTGATCAATAAAAATTTTAAACTAGATTTTAACCCGCGGTGTAATTTATTTTTTTAAGTTAGTATATATAAAATTTTATAAATTGTATCTCCTTATAAAATATTTATGTTTTATAGTTTATAATTATTATCAAGTAACGGTATATCACGAGTTCACAGAACAATAATAAACTGAGGATTTAACTCGTATTAAAGCGGCATGTTAATGATATTTTAAAATTTTATAAATATTGATTCAAACCCGTTCGCCATATAAATCCGTTCCGAAATATAATCCGTCCCATAATTTCTTAACCCGTCCCATGATTTGTTTTCTAAAAGTAGTGATTTTAAAATTAAATGATTTTTTATTATATATAAAGTTTATAAATTGTATCATTCTCTAAGACATTTATATTTTAATAAACTAAGGATTGAATCTGTATTAAAGCGACATGTTAATGATATTTTAAAATTTTATAAATGTTGATTCAAGCTCGTCCACCATATAACCCGTCATGTAATTTTTTAACCCGTCCCGTAATTTATTTTCTAAAAGTAGTAATTTTAAAAAAATTAACGATTATTTATTATAGATAAAAGTTTATGAATTGTATCATATTCAAAGACATTTATATTTTATAGTTTACAATTGTTATTAAGTAACATTATACCACGGGACAATTTTTGATTTTACACAATCTTTTCTAAATGAGACTGATTTGATATGTCTAATATTAGTGGTATTAAAAAAAAAATTAAGGATTTAATCCGTATTGAAGCGGCGGATTAATGATATTTTAATCTTTTTATTATTGTTGATTCAAAAACCCGTCTCGCCAAATCCTTCCGGCCAAAAAACTCATTTATTTTATTAATGTTGATCTTATTTATGATATGATTCTGAATCATTGTCTAAATATTTTAATCGATGTAGAACGTTGAACACACATTTTTGTCAATTGGATAATATATGTCCGTTTTTAAAATTTTGAATCACAGTATATGTAGAAAAAAAATTGAATTTTTTTTACTTTATGTATTATATGATGATTCAAAACAGTTAAAAACAAATTAAACAAAGATGATAGGAGAATCATAATTCTAAATCATAATCAAATCTTCAAAATATCTAAACTATTAAATATGGAATATCCGGTGTATGAGTTGGGTTAAATATAACCCGACCCAACAAACTTTTTATGAACAAAATTTAAAAACGGGTCGGGTATCCGATATACCCGGAAGCATTTTTACCCACCCGTCACCAAAGTGTTGCAAAAATACTAGTATAGATGATAAATAATACTATACTTTTTTTACAGATTTTAGAATTTAGTTTGGATTTCAGTTGACGATTCTGCGGTTATTTTATATAAAGTAACATGAATGGAAAACAAATGTGGTCCTAAAATGCAAAGGAGTTTTTGTAAAAGGGAATTTTTGGCTTTGCGGCTGTTTGATGAGATTTTGGACTTTGTCCACTAATTTAAAAGCCAATCCCTGTGGTCTGTGGGGCTTCCGCTCTTTCCCACCCACTTTTTTCACGATCCATCCCTCTATTTTCCATCTCCTTATACTTCTTCCCCATACTTTAATATTAGTTTCTGGTTGTATTCTCGCATATTCCATCAATGATAATAGCTCTAAATTCTTATGTAAATTAACTAATTCAATTCGTATGTAAATTAACTAATATCTTTTATATATTTTTACAAATATTATTCCTTAATTTTTTTTTTATAGTTTACCTAGAAGTGTAACTGACTAATTTGATGGTATTATATGGCTATATCTTGATGAAATAAATAAAAAGGTGTTTGGTTATGATTTTGATTGTTACACGTTACAACTCAAAAGCAATCCCGCTTTCTACATAATATACTATTGTTTAGTTTAAACTAAATCGCTCGCTGCTTTACACGTAAAATCGAATTCGCATTGCTCAAATAAAATATACTAGTTAGAGTTTATAATAAAAGAATGAGAATCTTAAATTGGCATTAATCATGACGGACCATGTGGGGATCTTCATGCCTTGCATATAATAAGCAACCACAAACTAATAATCAAATCCTTCTTTAATTTTCTTATTGAACAATAACAAAGACACAAAAATACCACACATCAAATAAAAAACAAAACATTATCATACTCTAGGCCCCCTCTCTCTCTCTCTCTTTCATATCAATATCGCTTACATATATTTCATGACAAACATTGCATTCATCATATCACATATATATATAATAATACGTCATTTAAGACATTTTCAAATTTTAACAAAGTCAAATTCTCTTCTTTATTATATTCTAAGAAGAAAAATACTGAGTTCTGGACCTCCGTTTTTGTCCGGATTCATCATGTAAAACGCCTCCGAGTCACGGCTCCCGACGACTCTTTCAAATTTTCCTCTCATATACAATAGCTCCCCAAGCTCCGTTCCACTACCAACACCGGACACGTCATCAATAGTCTTCGGCGTCGGAATAACTCCGGCTCCAACAGTAACCCTAGAGACCGTGTTCAACACGCGCCAATCCGTGTCAGTACACGCCCCGCCACGTGACACAGCGTAACCGCACTTTCTCCCGTTGCAGTACATCGTCCATTTGGGTTCTTGGAAAAGCTTCGTTCCTGATCGATGACGCTTCTCGCACTCCAAAGCGATCCTGACGAGCCCCGAGGACATCTCTTTGACGAGAGTTGCCGTTGACATGGCCAGGTCCAGGAGCAAGACCGGGTCTGATCTCTGGTTGTACTGGACCGAAAACGTGACGTGGCCTCTTTTGTGTCCGTACAGAGTCCCGGTAACTCTTCTCCCGAGAGAAGAGGATCCACCGGTGACGAGTGAGATCAGTTGGTTAGAGACGCCGGAAGAAGAAGATGGCGGAGAGGGAAGAGAGAGGATTTTGCAAGCGGGGATATTAATGATGTTGATGAAAGAACGCAAGAGCAAAGAAAACTTCAAGTGGAGTTTCCCGATATTGTTAGAGGACGACGATGAGGAGGAGAGAGGGACGTAGGAGCATCTTTTTCGATTTCTCTATTTTCATGGAATTTTTTTTGTAATTTGTGTATAATGAACTTTGTCTAATAATTTTCTTAAGAGAGATTGATGTCTTTTGTGGTTGACAAACTAATTGATTCCAATAGTAAAGTTAATGTAAAAACAAAACATTGGGATGTTAAAATATCACTTCTTTATGGTAACTAACATCACAAAGAAAACATGTGTCAAAAGATTGTGTAAATAATGTTACCGATATACATAATATATCTCCTATGCAGATTAAAGTTGTTTTTCTTATGGTCTAGAATCTTCTTCTTCCTCCTTTTCTCCTTTGCTTTCTCTCTCTCAAAAGGGTGAAAGTGAGCTCATTTTCTCTTCTTCGCCGGCGTCTCTCACGGCGTCGGAATCCTCTTCCTTCCGTCTTCTCTGGCTCCCCTTTCCTTATGGCGAAGCAGAAGAAACGCAAAAAGGGTTCGCCGTCGCTTCCACCTTCTACGGGTGCTAGGCCTCCTCCTCAGTCTCCCTCGAGCCCAGCCTCTCCGTCCGCTCCGGTGTCTCCAGCGGTCGATTCTCCATCGTCTTCCATCTCCCCTGCGTCAGAATATGCCCAATTGACTGCCGAAAGGACAGACTTGGCCATTGCAACTCCAGACCTTAGTTCTTCACTAAATCTGGTCTCGGGTCTAGATCCAAAGCTAGGACTGGTTCCTTCTGCTACGGTTCCAGCGGTAATATGTGATGTTTCGGTGGTTCCGAAATCAACCTCCACAATTTCAGAGAATCAGGTGAAGCTCCCTGCTGCGCCTCACACAGAATCTCTAAAAAATTCTGAACCCTCAGAAATCGATTCTTGGGTTAGCCTTGTGAAAGGCACATCCAAACAGCTCGTGAAGAAGGGGAAGTCTTTCACATTGCCCTCAGGTGAGGTTTGTGTTAAAATCCCTAATTCCGTGATTGAAAAGAATCGGAAATCCTGGGATTGTTTTGTTCTTGGCCAGTTCTACTCGGATCCTCCATCCCAGGGCACTCTTCACAACATTGTGAATGGCATTTGGAGCAGACATTACAGGGACATCTCCGTGTCGAAGTTGGATGGAAATGCGTTTCTGTTCCGCATACCAAACGTGGCTACCAGAAACCATGTCATAACTCAACGGCTTTGGCAAATTGAGGGTCAAACCATGTTTGTCGCCAAATGGGAACCCGGTGTGGTTCCAAAGAAGCCTGAACTAACCTCGGCTCCGATTTGGCTTGAGCTGTGGAATGTTCCACTGCAATTTTTCAATGAGGAAGGGCTAGAACATGTTGCTGGACTTGTAGGGGAACCAAAATTCCTTCACCCGTCGACAGCTAACAAAACAAATCTTGAGGTCGCCAAAGTGTTCACCATTATTGACCCAAGAAAACCACTGCCTGAAGCAGTGAACGTACAATTTGATTCAGGTGAAATTGTGCGAGTGCTTGTTTCCAGCCCGTGGATGCCCCCAGTCTGCGCTCACTGCAAAGGTATAGGACATACCTTGAAGAGGTGTTCAAAAGCTCCAGTTACTTGCCATATCTGCAACTCTACAGTTCATTCTCCAGATTCTTGCCCAAGATTGAAAGTGAAAGATAGTAAGCGCAGGCAGCAGAAGAAGCCATCGCAGGCGGGTCCTGTGCTTTCAGTTAATGGGCAGGACATGATCTATGTTAAAGTTTCTCCTCAACTTCCTGTTTTAACAGACGTTTCTAAGGTAACCCCTAAGAAGTCTTTGAGTTTACCTGTCAGCCAGAAAATGACAGAGAAGGGTGAAGCGAGTGGTCTCTATATTCAAAGTAAGGCTGCTATTTCGCAGGTTAGTGAGGAAAAGGATTCTGAGAACTCCTCTGAAGTGGAGGCTGATTCATCTGACACACTGTCTTTAGATAGAGAGGAAGATAGTGGGGAAGAAGCTTTTGAGAAGTTTCAAGTCGTGTTGTCTAAAAAGCAACGCAAGGTTCAACGAGGCAAGAGCCTCAAAGCAACATAATTTAATGTGTGCGAACCTCTTTTGTTGGAACGTCCGGGGATTCAATATATATACGCATAGAAGCGGGTTCAAAAAATGGATCAGGGGTAAGAGATCCCTTTTTGGTGGTCTAATTGAGACCCATGTCAAGCAGGAGAAGATGAAAAAGTTTGTAAATGACCTTCTTCCAGGCTGGCTTTTTGAGAATAATTATGGTTACTCGGATTTGGGGAAAATCTGGATTTTGTGGCATCCAAGTGTAAAAGTTGTGGTGGTGTCTAGATCCTTGCAGATGGTTACTTGTGATATTTTGCTTCCTGATGAGAAAGAGTGGATTCTTGTTTCAATTGTCTATGCTTCGAATCAGGATGGTCCAAGACAAGAGCTTTGGGATGAGGTTGGGAGTTTGGCTTCCTCTACGCTGATGGCTAATAAAGCTTGGATTGTTTTAGGAGATTTTAATCAGATCCTATGCCCTACTGATCACTCTAGGCCTGCCACGTTGAATGTTGATAGAAGGATTAGAGTGTTCAGAGATTGCTTATTGAATGCTGATTTGTCGGATCTTACATTCAGAGGTACACCTTTACTTGGTGGAATAAATCTAAAACAAGACCTACCGCGAAGAAGTTGGATAGAATTTTGGTTAACTCGCATTGGTCATCTTTATTTCCGAATTCCTTTGCGTTCTTTGGTGAACCAGACTTCTCTGATCACGCGTCCTGTGAAGTCTCCTTGGATTCTGGTAGCTTGAAAGAAAAAAGGCCTTTCAAATTCTTCAATTACTTAATGCAGAATAAGGAATTCTTGCCTTAGTGGCTGAAAAGTGGTTCACGTTTAATGTAAGGGGTTCAGCAATGTTGCGAGTCTCCTTAAAGCTCAAGAGTATTAAAAGCTACATCATGAATTTTAGTAAAGAAAACTATTCAGGTCTGGAGAAACGAGTGACTGATGCTCATGACCTCCTTCTTGTCTTACAGAACAGAACTTTGGCTAATCCCTCTACCTCAAATGCAAGCAAGGAATTGGAAGCTGAATTGAAATGGCATGCACTTGTGAAGGCAGAGACCTCTTTTCTCAAGCAAAGGACCAATATCAATTGGTTCAAAGATGGTGATTGTAACTCTGCTTATTTCCACAGAATGGCGGCTTCGAGAAAAGCTAAAAACCATGTCCATTTTCTGTTGGATGCAAATGATCAGAGAATTGACTCTCAGCTTGAAATTATAGAGCATTGTGTTGCTTATTTCACTGATCTTCTTGGGGGTGAGGTAATTTCTGGTGGTCTGATTGATAGTGACATGGAACTGCTGCTTCCTTTTAGAAGTTCTCAAGCCCAACAAAGCTATATGGAGAAAATGTTCACTAAGGAAGAGATCAAAGAAGCATTTTTTTCCATACCTAGCAATAAAACAAGTGGTCCGGATGGTTATTCATCTGAATTCTTCAAGGGTTGCTGGAGTGTTATTGGACCGGAAGTCACGGAATCTGTTTTGGAATTCTTCAGGTCTGGTTCTCTTCTCAAACAGTGGAACTCTACCTCTCTGGTCCTGATTCCAAAATCCACTAATGCCTCCAGGGCTGCAGACTTTAGGCCTATTTCTTGCTTAAATACACTTTATAAAGTAATCTCAAAGCTTCTTGCTTCTAGACTGCAATGGCTGCTTCCCCATGTGATCTCGCCTTGTCAGTCTGCGTTTATGCCTCGTAGATTATTAGCAGAGAATGTCTTGCTTGCAACTGAAATTGTTCAAGGATACAACAGGAAGAATATTGGTGAAAGAGCAATGCTAAAAGTGGATATAAGGAAGGCTTTTGACTTGGTTAACTGGTCTTTCATTTTGTCAGCGCTTCGTGCCATTGGTGTTCTTGAGAGATTTGTTGGCTGGATTTCGGAGTGCATCACCACACCAACTTTCTCAGTTTGTCTTAATGGTAATTCAAGTGGTTTTTTCAAAAGTACAAAGGGACTTAGGCAAGGAGACCCTATCTCTCCCTATCTCTTTGTTTTGGGAATGGAGGTCTTCTCAAGTCTTCTTCATTCAAGATTTACTCAAGGTTATATTAACTATCATCCGAAAACATCAGGTTTGTCTATCTCCCACTTGATGTTTGCTGATGATGTTATGATATTTTTTGATGGGACTGAGGCTTCTCTCCACGGAATTAATGAAGCTCTAGACGATTTCGCTTCTTGGTCTGGTTTACATATGAACAGGGACAAGACACAACTGTTTCATGCTGGTCTTAGGGGGGTGTATTGGATGAAGAATTTTAGATGATTTTGGTTTTTTATTAAAATCCGTTACCTTGGCCTCCCTCTTATGCACAGAAAACTCAAAATCTGTGAGTATGAACCTCTCCTGGATCAACTTATTGGTAAATTTAGTCACAATCTCTTGTTATTCAATCAACAATTTGTAAATATCATACCAAATCCACTGTTATTCAAAACATAACAATTCTTTTTAAAAAATTTACTAGAAGTGATTTTAGGAGACTTGTTTTACTTTTTTAGTTGAAAAAGAGGACTGCGAAAATACCACCTATTGAGGTGGAACTTTGAAGGATTCATTTTTTCTTAAAAATAGTATATGAATATTGTCATCTCTTTGATAGGGCTGTGACTGAAGTAATTGTTTAGCTTAAGAATTCTCAGCTGATAAATACATATGATGACTTGGGCCTTTTGTACGATTTGCTAATTGATCAACCTCAAGAAATCAAACGTGCATTAGGAGACTACTTGATAGCCGAGAAGTTTAACAGTTCTTCATCCAATCTTACAGGTTTTCCCTTGAGAAAGTCCAAGTCATGGGCAATAGATTTTTTTTAATCGTAGAACTTGGATCATAGTTATCACATCCTTTCTCGGGTTATGATGATGTCAACTATCTTTAGTCAAAACTACAATCAGAGTAATCATTATGAAGAAGGGATTAAAAATAATACCTCTTATTTAAAAGATTGTATGACCTCTTCTGAATATTCTTGTTTGAAAAATATTTTTGCAGCTTAATTAATCGTCCATGTGCAGAATAGCTAAAACCCAGATTTCCCTTTTTCTGTTCAAAAAAACATCTCAAAGTCACCCGGAATTTCACTAAAATCACTTGTTATTTTTTCTTTTCAAAATAAAAATCTAACAAATCAACCTATAAATTTCCTTAAAACTCCCCCAAATCACTCAAAACTCTAAAATATTCAAATTCCACCAAATCTTCCAAAGTTCTTGATCCAATACACCCCCCTTAATCTCCTCAAATCCTCAGCTATTGCTAGGCATGGTTTTCCAGTTGCTGCTCTTCCAATCCGTTACCTTGGCCTCCCTCTTATGCACAGAAAACTCAAAATCTGTGAGTATGAACCTCTCCTGGATCAACTTATTGGTAAATTTAGAGGATGGGCAATGAAATCTTTGTCTTATGCGGGTCGTACACAATTGTTGTCTTCGGTTTTTCGGGTACTGTTAACTTCTGGATTTCAGCTTTCATCTTACCAAAAACTTGTATAAAGAAGATCGAGTCTTTATGCTCAAGATTTCTCTGGTCCGGTAAAATTGATGGCAGTAAGGGTGCCAAAGTCGCTTGGTCCACTGTCTGTTTACCTAAGCAAGAAGGTGGTTTGGGGCTACGAAGATTCTCTCAATGGAATACCACTCTTTGCTTGAGATTTATATGGTTATTATTCTCTGAATCTGGTTCTCTGTGGGCTATGTGGCATAAATATCACAACATCAAGAGTAACAACCTTTGGGAAATCAGTGAATCACAAAGAGATTCTTGGACTTGGAAAGCAATCCTGCGACTGAGACCGGTGGCAGCCCAGTTTCTGAAAGTTGTTGTTGGAAATGGGAGCAGTGCTAGTTTCTGGTTTGACAATTGGTCTCCTTTTGGACCTCTAATAAAATACATTGGTGCAGAAGGTCCTCGACAACTTCGTATTCCCCTCAAAGCTAAGGTAAAGGATGCGTGTAACTCTGCGGGCTGGACTCTTCCTTCTCCAAGGTCTGATGTGGAGTTAAATTTGCATGCACATTTAACAACAATTGAGGTTCCAAGCAGTTCTGCAAATCAAGATGAGTTCTGTTGGGTTGTTGACAAGGTAAAATGTAATGGTTTCTCCTCTTCACAGTCTTGGAATGTTTTAAGGCCACGAAAAGAGGAAACTAATTGGCATGATGTTGTGTGGTTCAAAGGATCTATTCCCAAACATGCTTTCAACATGTGGGTCTCTCACCTTAACAGATTGCCCACAAAGAAGCGTCTGTTCTCTTGGGGTATTATTCCTTCTCCGAATTGCAGTTTTTGTGCTGCAGACATTGAATCTAGAGACCATCTGTTCCTAATCTGCGCCTTCTCTCAAGCTATTTGGCGACTGGTTTTCTTAAAACTTGACCCTAACAGGTCGTTGCTCCTTTCGTGGTCTGAACTTCTTTCTTGGGTAAGAGCCGGTTTGCAAGCTGCACCGATTCTTCTAAGGAAAATCATTGTCCAAGCAACCATTTACCACATCTGGAAGCAACGCAATAATCTCGTCCACAATCAACAAGCAATCTCACCTCCAGCTATCTTCTTGCTTCTTGACAAGGACATTCGCAACATCATCTCTGCAAGACGCCATAGGAAGCCTTTTTACAATCTGATGCAATGTTGGTTATCTTGATCTCACGTCTGTGATTTCCCCAAATTATCTCCTTGTTTTTATTCTTTTTGCCAAGGTTTCAATATTCTCAGGCTCTACTCTTTGTAACAGTCAAACGTTTTCATATTTTATGATATTAACATGTTTAGCAAAAAAAAAAAAAAAAAAAAAAAGTTGTTTTTCTTGATTAAATTTAAATGTATAAATACTCAAGTAAATACGTAGATTTAGTTTAACAATATAAGTATTAGTAATTTAGTACAGTATATTACTTGTTACCAATACGCATCCAAGATCCATAGCTTATTTGATAAAGTACACTTTTGGAGATTAAAATAATTAATTAGGCGTATATATATGATATGTAGTTGGAAAAAAAGGGTATGTATACGATATGTAATGTTTTTTCCTTACGTATGATAGTTTGGTTTAGTTGTCTCTACAATTTTATTTTATACAGTCAGATTTCACTTTCATTATCATCAAAGTCTCGCCTCCATTTTTATCAAAAGAAAATAAAAAAGTCACGCCCCAATACTCTAATCCCAACCGTCCATTAAGGTAGGTTCACGATGGACCCGGCTAACAAATTGTTAATTTTGATTTGATTTTGGAATTTTGTTTTGCGTTGACGCTCTCTTTGATCAATATGTTGACATTTGGATCAGATAAAATGACAAGGGACAACGCAACTGGAGTCGTTGAACATTATGGGTTTTGGCTTTAAACGGTGTCGCAGGGATGCTTTTCCATATATATGGTCCCGGTCGTATGTACTGACGTGGCTCATAAACGAAAGAAAACGATACAAAATACATTGGGATGTTTAAAATATCACTTCTTTATGGTAACTAACATCACAAAAGAAAACATGTGTCAAAAGCTTGTGTAAATAATGTTACCGATATACATAATATATCTCCTATGCAGATTAAAGTTGTTTTTCTTGATTAAAGTTAAATGTATAAATACTTAAGTTAATACGTGACTATACTTTTATAGTATAAGTTAATACGTGAATGGAAATCAAGGCTAGAAACCATATATATATATATATATATATGTAGAGAGACCTAACTATCTCTCGTGTCACAAGCTAGTTATTTCAAAGCTATTGTACACTTTACCTAATCTTTTCAAAAATATTTACTTAATAATAACACAATCATGTTCTCAATGATTCTTCTCATCTTTATTTGCAGATGGAAAACAAGATTCTTAAGGAAATGGATTAGATACGAGCAGAGAGACTGAGAGAGCATAGTCGAGGATTAAATTCTATGTGTGTTGATGTCTCAGATGAGATTTTGAACACTCATAAACGAAAAGAACATGATAAAATCGTGTTATGATACTATTAAAGACTACGGATGCGTTTATAAACAAAAATTGAAATCCATTAATTAAGCAACATTTTAGGTTGATTTTTGGAACGTAATACACAAACCCAAATAGTTGATTTAGTTTTAGATTTTATTTTTATAAGATATAATGTTTAGTTTTTATTATTTATTTATACTGAATCGAATTTGGTTTGATAGTTGGCTTTAATCGAATTTGGAGACTAGTACCTGATTACGGTACTAAAATTTGAACACATCACGTGAATACTACAATATCTCCTATTACACTGGAATTTAAATTAATGAAAGGATATCGGGACGAAGAAGGTATGACATAGTGTATGTGTTTGATTATAAGTGAACCACATCGACTATTAAAGAACCACAACTTAACCATCTTAAGCTAAAAGTGTTTTAATTAGTTGAAACCGATGATATAAAAAAGAGAATATATATTACAAAGGGAGATCCAATTACGGTATTCGGGCGGTTCCAAACACGAGCTCGTTAATGATGTAACAATTACCATGTTGGTTACCTAATTAACTGAATCACAAATTGCAAATTATCGGACACATGGTTTCTTTGATTGACCGGTCACTGGTATGACACATTTTTAAAATTCCACCTCAATAAGCACTTACGCCTATTTCATTTGCGATGGAAGAAATAAAACAAAACACATAAACATTAGATCATAAGTCATAAAATTTTCAATTTTGTTTATCCTACAAATACTCATATTTATCGTTTTTTTTATAACTATATTTATGATTGTTTATAGAAATGCCAACATATTTCGAAGAATCTATATTATATGATTATGACGATTTATATACATGATGTGTAAGTCACTCGACTCTGGCAGACCGACCTGGACATTATTGACCTGGAGAAGAAGCCTAAATTGCAAGGAAGTGTAAGCATCCTTGACATTGTCCAATGAACATCTCTCGAGCTCAGCTATCCTTGTTGGTGTGGCAAACAAACTAAGAAAATGTGTGAATAGAAGAAGCGATTCAGATACACTACTTACTAAAAACATATAATATGCACTGATAGATAAGTTTTTACCTCTCCGCGCTGCCATGCCTTTTGTTCTTGTATTGGTTCCAACTTTTGGTCAATACAAGCAGTCAAAGCTCGTATTATCTGAATGTGAAGTAAGGACAGGACTTGGGGCTGTTTGGCTTGTGGTGGTCAGTTGTCAAGCCATGTTGATGATTATTTTCAACACAGCTGAGAGCTGAGCATTCGTTCTTTACGTGTGATATATCATGAAACTGTATGAACATTGTTGTCTATCTAGCTTGATGGCCTGTTTTGTTAGAGATAACCGCTGTAAAAAGTCAGGGCTGGGTTGTTTAAACTTTTTAAGGGTGTAATTAAGTTCTATCTCAGATATATATATATATATATATATATATTATTTAAAGGCAGGTTGTTTAAGAAATTTTTTAACAAGTGGAATTGCTTCACACAAGGAAATTAGATGTGTTGGAGCTAGTTTTGATACTCAAAGACAGTAGTCTTGTTTTGATTAAGTAACACTGTTTTCCTTCCAAACTCTTATTATATTAAACTAATTGCTTCAGTTTCTTTTTTTTTTTTTAATTTGACATCCCACATGAACCGCTCACAACGATAGTGCAAGTAATTAACAGAGTGTGCTTTGACTGTTTTTTAATGCAACGGCAAAATGAAAGAAAAACTGGGAAAAGCAAACTAAAGAAAGTAGTTTTTTCTTCCAATCATTCATCAGTTTTCTCTAAACTATTAGATGACACTAGAATTCGCAAGTTACACCTACACTTAGAACTACAAGACAAGATAACAGAGAAAGTTAAAGTTTTCACTTACACACATACATATATATTTCTAGCTCGTGATTCTAGTCATTATTGGCATTGCGTCCGGCCAGCTCCGCCGTGATAGCTGTAACAGCCGTCTCGGCCTGCTCCGCCAACTCCGTCAGTTCATTTGCAGCCATCGTTGTGAGATGAAGATCGCTCTCCGCAACTCCGTATCTGCTCACCGGCTCGGTGGGAGCAAATCCACGTCGACTTAAGATGTCGACCATACTACACACACACAATTTTGAGTTAGTTTATTATACATTTAATTTGCAAATATATAGTTTTAGGATTACATTGTTGAAATCACTCACAAACGATTCACACAAAGGTAGGTTTAATCAAAGACTTACCCGGGAGGAGTAGCATGAGAGACTCTTCTGTCGTTCTCCGCGATGGCCGCAAATGCTACATTTGCACCGGTCTGTGCATGTACCGAGTTTGCATCTTTCGTGATGATGTCGAACGACCGACCGAACTGTTGTGCACGGACTGCTGGGCTCTGGTAAAGCTCCATCTCCTCAACTCTCTTCTTTTTTCTTGGAGGCATCGAGAGAGAAAACTGAGAAAAAAAAAACTAGATCTGAGGAAGAAAAGCCCTAGATCTCAGATTCTCAGTCAAAGTCTTTTCAGACAATAAGCGTGTTTCGTTTAAGTGAGAAGAAGAGAGTTAAGTCGACTCAACGGCCAGCTCACCGACCAAAGTGATCGATGGATTGGACAGAGTCTAATTTGTAATGGGCCGGAGATGGGCCAAGTTTTATCTTTTCTTTCTTTTAATATTTGTTAATTGCTCCTCGAAACCAAATTCATCAGATTCTTCAACTCGCGCATTTTCTTACTCATCACCTTTCTTCCGATTTCCCTGGCCTGCTTGGCATTCCTCCTCCAATGGCGAGCTCCGAGATTCAATCGTTTCCTTATCTCCGAGATTGGAAGCTTGATCACAAGCCTGATCTTAAACCTAAGGTTAGAACTCTTGGATCCAATTTGACGGGTTTTGAGAAATGCTAAGACTTGATTTATTTGATGATGAAAAAATCGGATTTTTGTGTAGATATGTATAAGGACGAGCACTTCTGCTGGATTAGAGCCGACATTGCCATGGATTGTCTATCACAAGGTCATTGGAGTTTCCACTTTTTATCTATTTGTTGAAGGCACTGCTACTTCCCCAAATGTGTCTCGAGTTTTTGAGACCATCCCTGTCGGCTTTTACGAGTCTTGTTTTGTTACATGAATTGATCGGTTCATGAATCCTGATTTTTTCTTTATGTTACCGTGACAATAACTGAATGTTATATACAGGACAAGAGAGTTAAAAGAAGAACAAGCTAAAAGGTATTCTTGTGTTTTGTTTGTCATTAAGTTATGGCTTTAGAGCCATCTAGACTGAAAAATGGAGGATTTAAAGGAACCACCTCTGGTTATTTAGACATACCTAGATATCTTGGTGACTCATTGGTGTGCTCTTGTGTGATGCATCTTTGCATCTTGATCTTTCAAAACTGAAATGGTTGTTTTAGAGGTGTTATTTCAGATCATTTAATCTGAAGTTTCATCACATCTTCTTTGGTTTATAGCCGGATATAAAGAGGCAACTCGTGGCAATCCGAACTATTTTCTAAGCTATGCAAATGGGAAATCCGCCGCTCGGATTCAAGACCATCTTCAGCCCAATGGTGCTCATCGATGGCTCAACTACATGAAGTACCCAAAGTATGTTCTTTTCCTCACTTGGCTTAAACATAGACATCCATTCTTTTGCTTATGTCATCTGATATTGATTCCATCTTTGTTGTGACAGCATCATGGAACTAGGCGAAGCTGCGATTCTTCACTACACTTACTCGAAATTCTCAGATCTTACTTCAAGACGTGATCGATGTGGCTGCAAACCAACTAAAGAAGATGTCAAGAGATGTTTCATGCTAGACTTTGACAGAGCCGTATGCTAGGATTTGATTTGTTTTTGTCGATTGATATAGTTCTTGTTTATCACATTTTTGTTTTTGTTTTTTGCAGGCATTCATCATTGCTTCAACTTCAACTTCAGAGGAAATGCTCCAATGGTACAGAGAAAGAGTTGTATGGACTGACGACAATTTGATCCTAAAACTTGTTAGGAAAGGAATTCTGACTCGCATTTATGCACCAATGGTGAGTTAGTTTTACTACCAAATCTACATCCTCTTTGAGTGCTTTTGATTGAACAAAGCTATCATCTCTCTCAGGTTATAATCCAAGAGCTAAGAGAAGCCGGTGTTTTCAGCTCAGTGGTAAATTCAGCTCACATGTCTCTCTCAAGGAATAGAAGCAACTCTTCAACCTCAAAAATTACTAGAGAATCATCTCAAGCAACTACTAGGAAGGTGTTGGAGTTTGATCTTGAGGATCTTGATGATGAATCTCCATCAGCATCACCTATACCACCGAAATCATCTCCAGGCTTGGAAACAATCCAAAATGTTTCATTATGACTTTCTTATAGAAGACTTCAAATATTTGCAGAGAGATGAAACTGGGAGATTTTCTGTACATTTTCGCCAAGTTTTTTTTGTTTGCCTTAGGTTTTAACTATACAAAGAAGAACATTAGAGCAGGCTTTGTGGATCTACTTGGTCCATTTATATACATTCTATGTGGAATGCTGTTGATCGTGGTATGAAAATGAATCATGATAGTGTCTGTGTTTAAGACTAGCGTTTGGTTGCTCAAAAAAAAAAAAAAAAGACTAGCGTTTTAGAGTGACCAAAGACAGTGGGCGCGTGTCATGTACGAGCGTTGAGCGAGTGGAATCGGTAATCGCGATGTGAAAAGACGCTCTTTTTTGGCGGTTCTTTTGCTTCTCCTTCCTCTCGACTCTCGATGAACAAAGTTCTTCAGTTAGGTCTGCAGAGCTCCGTCATCAATGTCGCCAAGTACGGTTCTGTCTAAATCTGTTTAGTGGATTATCGCTTCTTCTTCTTAGGGCTTTTCTGTGTTGTTGTTATCTTCTGAATCGTTTCGGACAAATCAAACCCTTTACTTGTTGATTTCGGATTTCTTCTGGGTTCTGTTTCATTTAGCTGATGTTTGGAGTCTCAAAGCTGTGACCTTTTTAAAAAACTTTTTTATGTTTTCCAAAATTCTATTGTGTGAAATTTCGTGATTGAGATAATTCTAGGTTTCTGGTGGTGCCTATTAGGAGTTTAAGCGTTGGTTCATCTATCGTTGGTGTTGGAGTAGGAACGAGAAGTGTCAACAAGAGGCTTATGTCAAATGCTACAGTTAAATCTATACCTTTCTCTATCAACAACAGCAAGGGAAAGGAGGTACTCGAGATAGTAGGAGCAGCTACTGATCAGAATTGTCATCAGATGGTTTGTGCTAAGTTTTTGATTGATCAGTTCACTTGCACTAGTGAAGCTAAGGTTTCTTTTGGTTTGCTTGTTTAATTGTTGGTTTCGATGTGTAGGGAAGTGATAGTGGTAGAGCTGAAATGGGAACTCTTCAAGATGATCGAAAGGATATCGAGGCGATGACGGTTCAAGAACTTAGAGCCACATTGAGGCAAGTTTCTGTTTCTATTCTTTTCTTTTCTCTTGCTGCTTTGTTATTGTTTCTGTGGACATCCAGATTCTTGTTCATTGTTTAAACATGTGGAACCTTTTTGTGGTTTTGATTATAGGAAACTTGGGCTACCTGTGAAAGGACGCAAACAAGAACTTATCTCAACTTTACGACTTCATATGGACAGCAATTTACCTGGTATGTAACTGCACACCAAGAACACACACTTTTCTATTTCATGTATCATATCGAGAAAAAGGCATGAACTTGTTTGCATTTAGTAGTTGTCTAAGCTTGTTCCATTTGAATTAAAATGAAAAGTCTCTAAACTGCAGCAAATTCATTCAAAAAGAGGAAGCATCATCGATCATCTCTAGTGAATTTCTGAAAACCAAAGAAATAATCGTATCCCCGAGTCAAAGTGAACCCTGGGCTGTACTTGCTCATACGAAGCCTCAGAACCCTGGGCTGTACTTGCTCATACGAAGCCTCAGAAGGACTGGAAAGCTTATAACCCAAAGACAATGAGACCCCCCTACCAGAGGATAACCAAGTGTGTGAAGGTTAATGGATTGAGAGCATTGTTGAAGTTAGAGAGCTTCTCTGCTCTGCAGCTTGCCCAAAGAAAAAATATTGATATCTTGTGCTTGCAGGAGACTAAAATCCAGGTCATAACTTTAGGCCCTTCTTTAGTTGTTTCTGCTCTATATTCTAAACATTGCCAGTTTAGAAATCTCTTGTACTAAAGACATCTATCAAACATATGACAGGTAAAGGATGTTGAGGAAATTAAGAAAACTCTTATTGATGGCTATGATCATAGTTTCTGGTCCTGCAGCGTCTCGAAACTTGGCTACTCTGGAACTGCAATAATCTCACGGGTAACAGAAGAATGTGCTTATTTGTTATTTCATATCCATGTTATCTGATACGTTAAATTGAATTGTATGTGTTTTAATCAGTTTGTTTTTTTTGACATAAAACCACTCTCAGTTAGATATAGCACTGGTCTAACTGGATCAGATCACAACGTGGAAGGGGCTTATTGTAACTGCTGAATTCGACTCCTTCTATTTGATAAATACTTATGTCCCTAATTCCGGAGATGGCTTAAAAAGACTGGTAACCCTCAAATTTATTGCATTTAGTTGTCATTGTTGAGACATATTCTACTTTTTTTTTTTTTTTTTTTTTTTTTTTTTTTTTTTTTTTTAATTCTAACGAATGGATTCCGTGGGTTCTCAAGTCATACAGGATCGAAGAATGGGATCGAACCCTCAGCAATCACATCAAAGTATGAAACGTTTCTTCAGAGTTTCTTTATTTTGTTGTATTTGTCCTTCTTTCACAAGTTCAATGGCCATTTTGCATCTGCAGGAGCTGGAAAAGTCTAAGCCTGTAGTCTTGACGGGTGATCTAAATTGCGCTCATGAAGAAATTGACGTCTTCAATCCTGCGGTAATGAACTCGAATGCTTCTTCCCTCCCCTTTTTTCATCGAAAAGTAATCTCTCAGTTTTCATAATTCTCCACCATATAAGTAGGGGAACAAAAGAAGTGCTGGTTTTACAATAGAAGAAAGGCAGTCCTTTGGTGCAAACTTCTTAGCCAAGGGCTTTGTAGATACATTTAGAAAGCAACATCTTGGTGTTGTCGGTTACACTTATTGGGGTTATCGCCATCCATGGTGGCCGCAAAACCAACAAAGGTAATTATGTTTGTTTGGTACATATTCAGATTCATATGTTTGGTTTCTAAACTGGTGAAATGGTGTGAAACAGGATGTAGACTGGACGACTTCTTGGTGTCCGAATCAATGTCCATGATTCTTACATCCTCCCTGATATCAATGGAAGCGATCATTGCCTCCATTGGCCTTATTCTCAAGCTCTGATTTATTCAAAGTTTCACCATTCCCAGCTTTTTTTTTGGCTAAAGTCTTTAGTAGCTTTTAGGTAGAGATTCACAGGTTTTGTTTCTAGAGAGAGCTTGCTCATGTAAAATCTGGAATAATCCTATTATCTATCAGTAAACAGGCGCCAAACAATCTGAGTCTTGTCCAATCTATGGGTATGGTTTACTCTCATTACTCTTCACTGCATTTCTCATTCACTTAACGAAAGGAATAGAAACAACAAAATTAACCCATCAATTGAGTCGAAGTAAGAAACAATGTTATGTGAAGAAATCGCATTTATAAAAACATAAAGCTAAACTTAGTAGAGGTGGTCTAGTAGGAACAAGAGTGGCAATATACTCCTCCAGATTTTCATGGTAATCTAAACTGAAGCGAAAACTAGTTTCAACCTGTCTCATTGCATCCTTCTCCAAGTTGTATTCATACGGTATAAATCCATTTTCACGTGTCCTCACAAGCATAAGCAACAATCCTGAATGGTTTATCACAGCTCCTAGCCAAAACTCAACAAAATTTTCTGTCCCCAGACCCTCTCCAGCAACTCTGCCTGAGATATTGATGATCCCTTGATTTTGGTGAACAAGAAAATATATGTATGAAAACTAGTCAACATCTGAAGAAGCTATAACGCAGATCAAAAGAGTAACAATTCTAGCTAGACTTCTAAAACTAGTTAAGGAAAACGAATATTATTTATCAACAGTAAATTCAAGTAAAGTGAACCAGTACTAAGTTTTAAGACAAGGTATAGGAAATCCATACTCTAAATGGCAAGCCTCATTCTCTTGAAGTGTTAAGTATCTTCACAACCTCTCCATACACATATGCTTTTTTCTCATGAATGGGTATGTTAGCCAGAGCCACGAGTTCTTTGCCTGGTGTTGAGGATATTGGAGGACTCGAAGCCACCGGCACTAGTTGACCAGCATGAGCCTCTCTGCTTGTATCAATCAAATTCGTTTTAGGTAGCATTGATATTCTGCTGAGGCTCTGAAGGAAGTCACGTTTTTTCTTTTCTCCAATCCTGCTGTCAAGTCAAAATTCACATTCAATATTTAGAACCCATAGCCTTCTAATAGATCACTACGCAAACCACCCACATCCATGAAAAGACTCTTTTAAAAGCTCTATTGGCTGCTTCAAAGTAGGAAACAAGAAAATATGTGTATATGTCTGTATCACACAGTGACTTATCAATCTTTATATGCAAACAAGAAAATATGTGTATATGTCTGTATCACACAGTGACTTATCAATCTTTATATGCAAAAGCATAATGAGAAGAAACAAAGGCTAGAAGGAAAAAGAAGTAACAGATACAATTAAAGTGGAAATATGGAGAGCCAGAATACAAACCTCCAGCACTTGTGGATCTATAGTATTGCCTCAAGCTCTCTTAGTATGGTTTCTAGTTCCATCACTCGCTGTCTTTCCTGGAGACTGTCAGTGGCAGAATAGAAGCAAACACCTTGAGCACATTTTCAGCTTAAAGGCAAAAGCAGATTTCTAGCTTGCAGTAATATACCTGAATCCAGGGTAATATTTGTAAGTCTGAAGAATATCGTTCCCTGCAAGAATAAGCCCTGATGTTCTGCTTTCACCATCCAACCTTCCACGGGCAAAAGAACAGATGGCTTCAGATAGACACTTGTTTATAGTCTCCAAGGCAGCCGAAAATGCACCCACCCTCTTCTGTATCTCTATGGACTGAGAAGATGGAAAACATGGTGACAGCTCTATTGAAAGACATACATACTGTGGAGTGGAAACAATGTTAGATGAGAAGTTACTTACTTTGTCATATAATCCAGCTTCTTGACATTGATGTGCAGCTTCGACCAAGAACTGTTGTCTCAATCTAGAATCAGGGAAAAATCTTCCAAGCTGACCTTCTTCACCAGAACCTCTTGCCCCAAGCAAAAAGCAAAGACCGCGTTCTCGAGGCAGAATCTCAGTCAGTAGCTGCTTCAGCATTAAGTTTCTCTGCCTCTGTTGATCCACATTACTTCTTCCAGACCAAGCTTAATTGTCCCCCACCTACAGGAGCAGCAGCATGTGCATAATACTCTACCGTCATTTGGAGATCTCCGTGATGGAGACTTTATCAACACAGTAAAAAAGACACAAGATTTCTCAGACACATATGTTTTGATCATGAAGAAGCTATAACTCAGATTAAACCAACGATCTGTTTCATTCAAGCTTAAACCGTGAAGATTTGATTACAAAAACACCATTAGATAAGAACAATTAAGAGCTCAGAATTCTCTATTGTTGGTGAGCATATATATACACATTCAAGAGAGCTTAAACAAAAACACGAGAATCAAGCTACTGGGCACGGTTCAACTGCTCCGAAAGTGATGAAGCGATGATTGCGTTCAGACGTTCACGCAGGCTTTCCAACTCTTCTGTCGTCCTCTGTGTCAGAGTCACCGGACCGGTAACACCGGCCAAGGCCTCAGTGTACCTCTGAAACGGAGTCATCCCAAAATCCTTAGGCTCATAACCAAATCGATCCATCACCTCATTAATACTGCAAGAAAAACACGTTTTAGGATTTCAAGTCATAGTCACATAGTGCAAAAAAATTATGGAGAAAAAAACTGACCCTGGAAATGCATAGGTCTCGGCTCTCCCAACATCTGGAGAGTAAGCAATCAATGCTACTTGAGCATTGCATTGAATCTCCATTGATCGGGAGAAATCACGCATGCGGTTGTAGGCCGCTCGAAAACTCCGCTCTCTTCCGGCGTTGACACCCTCCATGAAACCCTAAGCCAGAGAGAGAAAGAGAGAAACATGTGAGAGAGAGCGAGAGAGAGAGAGAGAGAGAGAGAGCGAGAGAGATAGCGAGCGAGAAAGAGAGCGAGAAGAACCTGACAGAGCTGCAGCGAGAGACCTTTCTGAAGAAGAATGGCGGCGAGCAATTTTGAAGAAAGGGAGTGTTTTTGATTCAATTGAATATCGATCGGGTTTGTGATACGATCAGATTATTGGGCCTAATGGGCCTCATCATTATTCCTTCGTTTAAAGCCTTAGTAGCTTGCTCGTGTTTATAGTCTTCTTCGTTTGAAAATAACTTAATGGTTACTAAATTCTATAACCAAAATAACCGTAACCGAATAATTATTTTGGATAATCGAAAATACCTGAAATATAATTATATTTTCAAAAATATTAGTTATTTATAGACCAAATAATACTTGAAACATATCCAAAAATACTCAAAAATAACCAAAAAAATCCTAAAATATCCAAAGCAAAATAACCGAATGGATACTAAATTTTCAAACCGAAAGAACCGGAGCTAAACCAAAACCAAACCGAAATTTCAAAATACCCGAATGGATACTAAATTTTAGAACCGAAAGAACCAAAGCCGATAATCGATCGGATAACCGAACGCCCAGGACTATTTATTTCTCTGTAAACGTTTTAATCGAAAGATCATCAAAAACATTGAATTTCTCTATGTCTTCTTCTTCTTCTTCTTCTTCTCTTCTAATCTCTGATTCTTCACCTTATCCCTAATTTCTTCTGATTCTCATTTCTTTTTCTGTTCTCAATTGAATATCGGGTTTGGTTTTGGTTTCAAAATTTGGAGATTTTTGGTTCAATTTCAATTTTGGAGGTTGTCGGTTCAATTCATAAAAACATTGCCTTTAAGAAAATGTTGCACTCTAAACAGATGTTATAAATTGAGGAACAAGGGTTGCGTCGCGATTAACTTTGGTTCGGCCTCATATAGCGAAATGCGTTCACAATCTCTTTGATTTCTCAACAGTATATTTTGTAGAGTAATCAATGTTTTCTTTTTCTCTTTGATGATTGAAACTCTGTTTTCTAATAATTTAAGGTTCACCTAAATATTATTCTTACAACCACAAAAAAGGAGAAACGAAAAACAATAGTCTTTGAATAAAGAAATGAGTTTCACTAAGCCCTCACATTTTGGGTTGTCCGCATCCCCTGAACGACCCGTGAAGAGGTTTGGACTTTCTGAAACCAACAATGTCTTCGGTTTCAACAGATGGTGATGGGACTTCGTCTTTGTCACTTGTCATTTCCTTCAAATGCTTGCTCCCGTATACTCTTATGCTCAGCGATTTCTTCCGTGCTGCTCCAACCTTTATGTATTCGTCAAAGAAATCTATCAACTCTTGCTTTTGAAGCTGCTTCAACGCAGCAACCTGCCAACAATGAAACCCAATCGATGAGTCATTCTCAAAAAAAAAAATTCAGACTGACTTGAATTTAATCATTGGATTGATACAATTCAAAGTATATATGCATGGGTCATGTATAAACCAGGTGGTCGATTCGAGAGGCGGTTATCTTAGTTGTAGAGAAAACATTATAGGAAAGGGAACCTGTTCTCTGTACCTCTGCCTCTTTACGGTTGAATTTGAGTGTTCCACTTTGAATCTCTCGCCAGTAAAACCGGGATTCCTCCTTCAAGTTCTTGTGTTTCTTAAGCTTCATGTCTATTAAAGCTGTTACATTGCTCTAGAGGAAGAGTAACTCATATCAGTTAAATTGCTCTAGAGGAAGAGTAACTCATATCAGTTAAATAGCTCTGGATGACGATCATATTCCATAGCTAGATCAACTGAGATATATAATTAATTTTTAAGTTGCTCGACTGTTCTAAGTTGGTGAAAGGTGGCTTGCTTTGCAACAAGACCGAATAGCTGAAGTTTAATATTCATGGCAAAGTCATCTCTATGAACCGGCAACCAAAGTTACAGTTAGCCAAAACAATATGATCTCTGGCAATATGTTCTAAGATAATACCGAGATATCTACACGAAGAAACTCCAAAGAAGACGTAAAAATTGGTAGATACCTAGAATAAATTTCAAAGCTACCTTCTAAATCTGAATAAGGAATTACCTGAATATAGTGCACTAGAGCAGAATTTTCATCACTGGGGTTTGAGCCATCTTGGTGGTAGAAATACTTCAAACCTTCTCCGAGCTTGACAACCCTATTAGTGAGGTGCTGAGACGGGAACAAAGGTCGGCAAATCGGTTTTGGATCGTTAAAAATAACATCTTCAATATGTTTGACCATTGACTCAGCTTCATTATTCTCCACATTACCTGAAATGAAGTATGTAAGTATTCAGCTTCCGGAAAAAGAAGAAGACATAGACAAAAACAGAAAACATCACAGCAAAAGAAGATCAAATAAATAAACACAAAATGTTGATACCTGCTATATAACACTCAATAAATGTCCTTGATAACAACATTGGAACAAACTTAACTACATCTTCAGCTTCCAAATGAGGAAGGACATCCAGTTCCTCTGTCCAAGGCCAGGTTTGATCTTGTAATATCAGTGAGCAGTAATACATTGCTTGGTGATATGGCTGTCGAAATTTGTAATTTTGATACTCCTTTGTGACAGTTTCCTAGTAAATAATACGGAAACAGAATAACACAGATTCAATTATTCGGGTACAGAGGACATCGTTCAACCACTAAGTGAAGTTACAAAAAGAGACAAAGTCTGACATGGTTACCTTGATAACAGCAAATCTGTCAGGTTTAACTTCAAAATGTGCTATCTTACCAACAACAATTTCCAGCAAGATCCTCAATTTGTGATTATAACCAAGAAGGGTCAACTGGGAACAAAAAGAGGTAGTCAGAAAAAAAATTAGAGAAAAGGCATTCAGTAAAAGATAGCAAACGTGTGTAATGAAGATGAGGTAAATATCAAACTCACCTCGAAACCATTGTCCGCAAGGCTCAATCCATCGTAAAGACCAGCAACCTGTGCATAACAAGCTACAAAATAGAAGACGTAAAGAGTGATGGGAGAGTTTGATCAAAATAGAAGCTTTGTGTCTTTACTCAAACATTTTATTTTACTTATTTATACTATTTTTCAGTTGTCTTCGAGGACATACAACGAAGATGCAAAACAGAGCAGAAAACTAGAAAGCAGTGATGACATTGTCAAAAGCAACAATAAATGCTCAGTCAACAGCAAGTAATACGGAAATATTTTTCATAAGACAAATTTTGGTGCTTAATGGACAAATTACCAATTTCAGAAGCTCGGTTCCACTTAAGTGGAACAGAGTTCTCTGAACTAAAGCCTAGAGAAAACACCTAGTTGAATGGAAAATACTGAGAGAAATATCGACCAAATCATACCGTATTCATTCAAATAGTCCATCAGCAATCGTGTAAAAATATCAGTAAGAACTAAGAACTGCCGCGTCAGGAGAGCTGACTGCAAGTGGGCAATTGAAAATTTGAAATCCATCTTAACATATGCCTTCGGTTTCGAGAACATTGTATCTGGCTTGTACCACAATCTTGAGAAAGGCGTCTTTCTCAACAAAACTGGAACGGTTTCCTGTTCCAGTACTTGATCATATAAGATGACCGCTTCATGCAGTAAAAATTTAAAAAATTCTTCTAATTTATGCCGTGAAATTGAACCTCGTCGTTAGCATCCTTTAATGACAAATCCGTAGGAATAAAGATATTAGGCGCTGGTAAATGCAGATGTACATCAGGCGCAGACTGCACCCATTCCTGTAATTATTTTACATAAACCCAAAAAGATATTAAGGAAACAAAATTGTTCAAACAAAACTGAAGCAGAGGTAGTAGTAGTCGCATAGAAAATAAATGAATCATTTCGAGCTAATATAACATATCAAAAAGTGAACCTGAATGGTGGAGCTGGTCATCTTCTCAAGAGAATAGGCAGTGTTATACCATGGCTCAGCCTTGTCAGTATGTCCTTCAAATTTCTGTGCTTCCCAAAAAATTCTACAAAAGCAATGGCATTATCAAGATTCTTTGGAAACAAGTCCGAGCTGTGTCTAAATTCCAGTGCTTTAACAAGTAAACTTTAATAACATGCCGGAAATGGTGAAAGTAAACTGCAGAAAAGCTAATGGGAATAGTACATAAATTAGCCATCATATATAATAATATCAATAGCAATAACAGACTCTAATGCCATGCACAGTTATTTTCAGAATATATAGAACAGATGTAAAATTAGCTTAGGCGAAAACCCATGATTTCATTATAAGTTTAGTGTATAACAGGTAGCTACCCAGAAGTTTTATGTCTGCAAAGTAAGACTCTTAAAACCACAGACTTACCGAACATTACTAGGAGAAAGCTCATCTACAACCTTTTGTGCAATAGCTGGATTAAATTTAGCTGGCAGTGATGATCCAACCAGCCAATCCTTGGTCGGATATATCTGAAGAGTAATTGCAAAGAATACAGAAGATATTAAAAGAACTATTATTTCTTAGCCGTGAGCTTAGGTTTGCGCTTTAAAGATATAAATTACAAAACTTTAGTCACATTGCATAACTTCATATGCACGATTTATTGAAGGAATGATTGATGACATGGTAACAGAGATAAGCATGTATTAAAAAAAATGCTTAGACAAAAGAGAAAGAGCTAAATTATTACCTGCATGTTTGATGCAATATCCACTATATAGGACATTGGTGGTATTTTGTCTTGATAATGAAATTTTGTCTCACAAATAGCTGAGAGCTTCAATAACAATAAACGATGTATTAGCAATAGTAAAGTCACAAGGTCAAAAAATGAAGAAAAAAGGGAAACTACAATCTTAGCATATCAGTAGCAATACATTAGAATGAGTCGTACAAGTTAATGTATTTATACCACATCAAAAATCCACTGGCAAACGCCAGTCTGTTGTAATAGCTGAATGTAGTTGAACAGCAACCCTAAAATCTCTTGCATATGCTCTGTAAATCCACCAAGGAGAAAACCCATGAATTTAATAATTACAAAACACCAAACACACCCATACTCTCTATTCAACAAGAAAGAAGAAAGACTGTTGTGAACTTCCTAGAATGAAAAAAATAATAGAAGAACCCACCATGGCCAGCATCTTCTAAGATCAGTCGAAGCCTTGAAGAAAGCATAATCTTGAGTCCACTCTCCTTC